TCCAGAAGGAGCTGAAGGAAGGATGTTTTCTGCTAGAGAAGAGAAACTGAAGGCTCCTTCTACAGGACCAGCACTAGGGGGCACCGGAACAAAGTATACTGAGCATGACCTGTGAGACAGCCAAAGAGCTTCAACTCTGGAAATTAGGGGAACAGAGGAAATACCCATTTGTGAAACCCAGTGAACTTCCATTTAGATAAAGATCTAACCCTGTTCTTGATATAGTCTTCCCATATATTTCATTTTCTAAAATAGTGTTCACTGTTGAGTTAAATTATAACTTGAACTTAAACTTCACATGTAACTATCATTCATAATCTCCTGAATGACTGTGACAACAAAGAAGAAAAATAAATTTTAGAAAGTACTGTCTAAAAAGCAATTTGGCAATATGTATCAAGCCTTAAAAGTATGTACCATCTTTGACCCAGCAAATCCATTTCTAAGAACATAAGATGAAACAATGTAAAGCACAGAACAAGCTTTTGCACCAGAATGCACACCATGGCATTAATTTTATTAGTTAAAATGTTTACAACCTAAATATCAAAGAGAGCAGAGTGGTAAAATTAATTATGCTATAGCTACATGATACACTAATGCATGCATTAAAAAATTATCTATAAATATTTCTTTTAATAACTGAAGGAAATCCCATGTTCACTGAAGAGGAGATACAAAGTTGAAAATACATTATGATCTCAATAAGATTGAAAAATATGTAAGAAAAAGTACTGAAAGAAAATATACAAAAATATTAACAGTGATTATCTACAGGTAGTAAAATTCAGAAATTTTATTTTAACAATGAACACATACCATAGTGAGAAAGCCCAAATTTATGAAAAACAACTTTACCATATATTTTATACCAAAAACTAATACACATAACTTATTAATTAAAGATGTAAGCGACCTCTTCAGAGATTTAAAGGAGATTCTATAAATGTACTAATGAGCAGAGAAAAACACAGCGGTCAGCTGGTTAGCTCCCTCACTAGCTAAATGGCTCATTCCACATTACATAATAATTATTCAACAAGAAATATTAATGTGGTCAGACTTTCAAGTTATCTCTAAATGATCATTACAAATTAAATATATAGACCCCAAGAGTCTACTGAATTACATTTAAATTTTAAGAAAGAAAAGGAAAAAAAAGGATAGAGTATTTTAGGTACATCATGACCAAAGTCCTCCATATACTTTATAACCCACTGGCATTACAAACTAAGCCATTTCAAATCATGGAAACTTCTCATTCAAATGCCTTTATGGATACAGAATGATGAAAGAAAATGGGCTGTATGATATAAATTTTTCTATACCCAACTGATAAACAGACATTGTTGGTTTGTGTTCAGTGAGGAGTCAACCAACTTGCCATGCTGTGCCCTTAGAAATTTTTAAAAAGCCATAAAAAACTCTCTAGAACTAGTTGTATTAAAAGCTTAATAATACAAAAATTCATTTTTTTAAATCCTCACCCCAGGATATGTCTTTATTGATTTGGGGAGGGTGGGTGGAAAGTAATAGAGAGAAAGAAACATCAACGTGAGAGAGAAACATCAGTTGGTTGCCTCCCTTACACTCCCAGACAGAAGACAGAACCTGCAACCTAGGTATGTGCCTTGACCAGTAATGAAACCCACAACCTTTCGGTGTTCAGGACCACACTCCAACCAACTGAGCCACTCAGCAAAGGCAATAATACAAGAAATCAAAGAGTGCTAACAGAAAAATCAGTAGACAGAAATTCAAAAATTTTCCAAGTAATCAAATTCCTTATCTGTAAAATGGGATTATGATAATGTTCACTTTAGAGGATTAAGATTTAATTAGAGCATTTCTAGTAGGCGATTTACAAAATATAAAACAACAAGATATTAACAACAATGTCTCCCTTCTAGGCCTTATCTAAAAGACACAGGTTTCATCAAATCATTTCTAAATTCCCCAAGAGCTCTAATATTACATTTATAAACAAAAGAATAATGCTACTATTGCAAATAAGATATAGAACATACTAAGCATTTTTTCTAGTATTCATTCAAGCTTAGCAACTCTGTGAGTTACATGTGATTAACCAAAACCCAAGATTAGGATGAAGAATAAAGATGCTTTTGTACTAGTAGTTTAAAAATTAATTTTTGTGATAAAATTCTCACTGTTAACAGGTATCACCAACAACAAAACAACCAAACAGTATCAAAAGATATAAAATGAAAAGTAAATTTCTTCTTATGCTTGCCCCCAAAGAATTTCTATTTCTCAGAGGTAAGCACTGTTAAGATTCTTGTATATCTATCTAGACATCTTTAGGATAGCAGTTATTGATCATACATAGGCTACAGAATTTTAGAGCCAGAAAAGGTTGGCACAATACAACCTTCAACTTTATAAGCAAGCAACCTGAAACACACATAAGTGATTTTTTAAACTTTCATTAATTTTTGGAAATCACTTTACAATGGATAAAATGCTTTGATATAAGTTATCTGCTTTAAAGTGATTATTATTATTATTGAGTTTGTGACATTAACATAACCATACAGATTCCAAGTGTACAACTTAACAAAACATTATCTGCATATTGCATCCTGTGCCCATTGCCTAAAGTAAAGTCTCTTTCCATCCTCAATTATCCCCTCTGTGCTCTCTTCTACCTCACCCCACAGTCCCCTTTCCCTCTGGCTATCACTGTACTATTGTCTGTGTCTATGTGATATATAAAGCTTTAAAATTGTTTTAAAAGAAAGAATTAGCCCTGGCTGGGTGGCTTAGTTGGTCAAAGCATCATCCCCCTATACCAAGTTGCTGCTTTGGTCTCTGGTCAGGATATATACAAGAATAAATTAGTGAATGCATAAAAAAGTGGAATAACAAATGGATGTTTCTTTCTCTCCCCCCCTTCCTCTCTATTTGTAAAAATCAATAAAATAAAAATTTAAAACAAAGTCTATCAATTAATGTATAAATAAGTGGAACAAATTAGTGTTTCTACCTCTTCCTTCTTCTCTCTCTAAAAAAAAAATAAAATAAAATAAGCCATGACCAAGTAGCTCAGTTGATTAGAGTGTCACCCAATATGGCAAGGTTGTGGTTTCAATATCTGGTCAGGGCACATACAGAAAGCAACCAATGAATGCATAAATACTCATAACTGGAGCAACAAATTGATACTTATCTCTTTCTCCCCCTAAAGTTAACAGTAAATTTTTAAATTTAAAAAAAAAAAAAAAGGAAGGATCTTAGCAATGAAAGATAAGTTTGCATGTATCTTGAATGCTTTTTAAGATTACTTAGAAAACCACTTTATAGATACAACTGAACAATGATTACTAAATATATTTTGAATAAAAAAATTACGAACAACTTCAAAGTGAGAATAACTTAAGAGACACTTATGTAAGAATTTCAAACATATATAAATGTACAAAAAACTACAAATAGAAGTCAAGTGAATAATGAAGCACCTAAAAGATGCTACAGCATTCTTTCTGGCACAAAGAAAATCAGTGTTGGACACAAAATCTGCATTGCCACTGTGGCAATGACAGTCACAAAAACTGTGTTATGATTAATGACAAAAATAAAGGTCTTGTTTATTAGAAGAATGCGTCAGATCAAAATGAAACTGAAAAGCAAGGAATCTCAAAATCTGCTACAATGGGGTTAAAAAAATAGAAAGCACTGAAAGAAGTGAGTTCAATAATAGAGATTCTCACTTATTATACAATACAGTTGTAAAAGAACAAAATTTAAATTCCATTTAACAAAGATATTAACCATTAATTATGTTAAATTTTTAGATAAGTATAGATTCTAAATTTATTAAAATGCAATTATCAACATTTAGCCATAATACAAACAACTCAAATAACCAAAATAATCTCAGTGGGGGAAAAAAGAAAAAAAAAATACAAAACAACGAAATGAAAAAATCAGAATAAAAGTTAATTGTGTGTAACTAACATAATAAACTCTTACCAAATTTTAACGTACATATATTCAATCTCCTTTAATTTTACCATATTAATGAACATTTCTAAAAACATGAAAATGTAATGCAATTTTCAAGTGGCTTGTTACTAATAAAAGGTTAACTTCAATTTTTGCTTATCAAGACTGAATTGTCAATAAAGTAGAAAAAACCTGGCAGCTAACCAATATATCACCACCCTTCTAATTAAAAACAAAAACTCCAATTACTTTCCAAAGGCAGAAAAATCCTCAAATTATTAATCAGAAGGACCAGCTCATGGTTATAAATCTTCATGGGAGACCTGTTTTTTCTCCTTTAATCAATGACAAATTTAAGACAGGCTGTTTTCCGCTATATGGAGCTGGTGTGGGTTTATTTCTAATTTACACTTGTGCTGGGAGTACCTCTTTAGAATCCCAGCTTTTCAGGGAGATGTGCTAACCTTTTAAACATTCCACCTTACAAAAGATCCTCAAGGTTAACTAGGCTTCAGTGCTCTGCTGACTTTATTGAATCCTAGTTTCATTTAATCTCTGGTTTGTATTTCCTTTTTTGTTTTGCATGGTTGATCATAAATTAAAAATTGAAAAAAGTTATCCAACGATTTGATTTGTTTTTAATAAGAATGTTGTTTAGTTTGGGCCCAAGGTACCATAATGCCAGAACCAAAAGCTACATACTATACTTTCAATATCATTTTATTTTTTATAGGATGTTACTTATGAGGCCTTTTTTGGTTTCTACAACAGCTATTTCTTACAAGAGTTTTAACTTTGTGTATGTATATATATATACACATACACACACACACACAACTATATATCTACTGCTTGAAGACTGGTTATCTTTCATAAAGATAAAATATACTTAATCATAGGAAAAGGCAAGAATTGAAACAGTTATTATATATTTTATTTAAAGTAACTTATTATAAATAACAAATTATTAAATATAAATTAAGCAAGGTTATTTTATTTTAGTAATAACCCTTCTGCCTACAGAAACTCTTACTTACTTTGGAAGGAGAACCATCAGTAATTTTCACCAACTGCCAAAGAATCGAGTAATGGGAACACTGCAATGCCTGTACGACTATCTGTATCAAATAAAAAAATTCAAACAAATGAGACAATTTACATTTGCAATTTTTATCATACAATATTTATCATACTTCTTATCTTACAATAAGGTTTGAGTCCAAATTTTTATAGAATTAAGGACACTGTATAAAATATTTGGTTAAAAAAAAAGGACAAACCAACATATCTTAAAGAATAAAGGTAACGTATCCTTACAAATATGGACCCAAATAACACTGTTTCAAACAAAAATGTACTATCATGAATACTTTGCTTACTCAGATTTTTAAAAAGACATATATCTAAAACTAATGTATCCCAATTTTATCACTAATTATTTTGTTTTAAAGCATTTTAAACGTGAAATAAAACGCTCATACACAATGTGCATAAAACATACACAAATCTTGAAACTACTCTAATACAGAATGTCAACTGTAATTTAAAAATTAAACAAATAAGTAAAAAACACATAAAACTTAATGAATGTTGTACATTACACTCCTATGACTATTTTTATATAACTGCCAATTTCTCAGTTTTAATCCCCTCACCGTTTTCAAACCCCCCTCCATCTAGCAACCATCAGCTTGTTCTCTGTATTTATGAGTTTAGGGAAAAAAGTATTTTTGAACTATGGATGGGAATCTGCACAGGAGGAAGGCCAACTTAAGTCATAAATGAATTTTTGAGTGTGTGGAGTGTGTGCATGCATAAGGACCCGTAACCCCAGCGCTGTTCAAGGGTCAATAATAATCTCTTTCCTCCTAAGGGTAACAGTTATTTTTACTTTTCAGGTCATCAGTACATTTAACAACCCAAATCTGCATCCCTAAATCCTAAGTTTATTATGCCTATTTGTGAACACTATATAAATGGAGTGATGGAATATGTATCAGTTTTTATCTGACTTCTTTTATTTAAACATTTGTCTTTTTAAATTTTTAAAAAAGATTTTATTTATTTTTTAGAAAGGGGGAAGGGAGGAAGAAAGAGAGGAAGAGAAACATTGATGTGCAAAAGGTACATGAGTTGGTTGCCTCTAGCACAGCCCCAAGTGGGAACCTGGTCTGCAACCCAGGCACATGCCCTGAGTGGGAGTTGAACCAGGGACCCTTTGGTTTGCAGGCTGGTGCTCAAGCCACTGAGCTACACCAGCCATGGCTATTTATTGATTTTAGAGAGTAAGGGTGGGGGGGTGGGGAGGAAGAAACATCAATTTGTTACTCTGCCCACTGAGGCATTCATCGTTTTATTTCTGTATGCGCCCTGACCAGGGAACCTGCAACACTGGTGTATCAGGATGTGGCTCTAACAAACCTGAGCTACTGGCTTGGCTAAACTTTTTATTTTTTAAATTTTTTAAATTTATTTTTAGAGAGAGGGGAAGGGAGGGAGAAAGTGGGAGAGAGAAACATGATGTGTCAGAGATACATTGACTGGTTGCCTATTGCACGTCTCCAACTGGGGACCTGGCCCACAACCCAGGCACGTGCCCTGACCAGGAATTGACCTGGCAACTCTTAGGTTCACAGGCCGGCACTCAATCCACTCAGCCACACCAGCCAGGGTGTTATGAACATTCTTTTACATGTCTCCTGGTACACCCATGTGCAGTTTTTTAAAGTTTTTAGTTCTCAGGACCTCTTTATACTCTTAAAAATTATTAAGGAACCCAAATAGTTTTTGTTTATGTAAGTTATATATTGATATTACTATATTAGAAATTAAAATTAATGTTTAAAATATTTATTGTCATTTAAAAAAATACTTTGTATCATTTTTTTTTAGAAAACCTAAATTTTTTTAAAACATAAAAACTTAGTGGGAAGAATGGTAGTATTTTGCAAATCTCTTTAATATATGGCTTAACAGCAAACTGAAGTTTGAGATCTGGTCTGCATTCTGTTACACTATGCTGTTTTGATAAAGTATAGGAAGAAAATCTAGAGTCATAGATCAGTTGGTAAAAAAAGTATTTTTAATAGCTTTTATAGATAAATGTGGGTATTCTTTGATATGACACCAATATTCCAATGTACTCTTGTGAGAAATAAGAATGAAAAAAGTAACATCTTCACCTTATGAAAACAGTGTGACCTCATGGATCTGTCCTGGAATCCTGAAGGGGTTCCTGGACCGTGCTTTGAGAACAACTGCTCTAGAAATAGGAATGCTGGATCTTATATCACATGTATGTTTAACTTTATAGTAGATAATACCAAACTGCTGTCCACAGTGGATGTACCCAGTAGTCTTTGACAGTTCCTTGGCTCCACGTTTTAAACAAAAATTGGTATCATCAGATATTTTGAATTTGGTGCTTTTATTATGTATGAATACTATTTTAATGTGGCACTACTGTATTTTGCCATGTATAATGGGCACCCACGTTTTTGTGCACATTATATCCAAGATTATTATACCCATATATAATGCGCATCCTTATTTTTCCCTCAAAAGTTTGGGGAAAAAAGTGTGCATTGTATATGACAAAATATGATTATTTACATGTCTCTAAATACTATGGAGATAGGTACCTTTTCATTTTTTATTGACATCAAATTCCTGTTTTGTGAAATGTTTGTCCCTATTTTTCAGAGAGACAACAGGATTCAGGAAAATGAAACTGATTAAAAATCATAACATAAAAGAGAATTTCATTTTAAAGAGGACTTTTACTACATTTATTTTTGGTTTGACTAGGTTTATCTTTACTGCAATAAAGCATATCTAATAATATGATATTCCCTTATTACAGTGTCTCTATTACCTCCTCTACTTAATAAACTAAACCCATAAGGATGAATACATGAAGAGAATAAATCGAAAGAGAAATCAGTAAATGGGATGTTACAGGAAGCAGTTGAGAGCTTTAGCTCGTTTTATTTTTAAAAATTCAGGTTTTAGCTCTGGCACGTATGGCTCAGTTGGTTGGAGTATTATCCTGTAAACTGAAAGGTTGTGGGTTCAATTCCCAGTCAGGGCATGACCTAGGTAGGTGGTGGGTTGTTCCTGGTCAGGGAGCATATCCACTTTATTGACTTATTTATCTATGTACTCATTACCTGAGGATAGGTATACTGATTTTAGAGAGAAAGATGGAGAGAGAGTGAGAGAGAAATATGATGTAAGAGAGTAACATCGACTGGTTGCCTCTCATGTGCCAAGACCACAGACTGAACCCGCAATGCAGGCATGTGCCCTAAACAGGAATCAAGCAGGTGAATTTTTGCTTTGTGGGACAGTGCCTAACCAACTGAGGCATACCGGTCAGGGCCCTTCCGCCTTTTCTTGACTACCATTGTTCAGAACCTGGAGAGGATCTTCAAATAATAGTGAGCATTGGTTTGTTGAGTAATCATTTCTTCCAACCCTAGTCTTCTGCCTTTGTGTTTCCACAAGGTAACACTGTTGCAGGGAGGACCAAGTAATGTGTTTTGCACATTTTAGGGCAGAAGAAGTTAAGAAGCAGTAGTGCCTTTCCCATCTTCTCCTCCCCTATATGCCAGCAAGGATACCAATGCCCCAGGAGATGATGGGTCCCTGAATCACTTGGTGGTGAAGTGACATCCTACTTCCCTTAATTGTATTTTATGGTTATGGGAGAAAAAAAACTTGTGTTAAGCCACTAAAATATTGAGATTAATCTATTACAGTAGTTAGCATTACCTTAACCAACATAAATATTATTTTATTATTAGCCCTTTTTCTTAATAAATATTTTTAATTATTGAAAGAAATTATAGCTGTTTACCTTTGATTAGAAGATTTAGAACCAATAAAAATCATTCAACCTGTGGCTAATGATATCACATATCTTGAAGATGAAGTGTTATTATTCCATGTAAATTAAGACCAACAGATACACTCCTAGAATTAGTTTAAGTTTAAAAAAGCTAAATTTGGGTAAAAATTAACATCAGATTAAAGACTACAAAAGAGTAATATAATCAGATGTTTCAAAAATATATTAGTAACAGCAAAGGGAAGTGATCCTATTTGTTCTTTGTTAGCATTTTATTTTTTTTCTTCTCTCTCTTTTCTTTTAGAGCAAGAGGAAGGGAGAGAAAAACATCAATGACTGGTTGCCTCCCATATGTGCACCAATTGGGGATAGAACCTGCAATCTTTTGGTCTACAGGATGATGCTCCAACTGAGCCACCCAGGAAGGGCACTTTTCTCTCTTTTAAAAAATATTTTATTTATTGATTGTTTTTAGAGAGAGAGGAAAGGCAGGGTGGGGACACACAGATGGACGGACACACACACACACACTCTCTCTCTCTTTCTCTCTCTCACTGTTCCATTTATTTATGCATTGATTGGTTCAATCTTGTGTGTTCCCTGACCGTGGATCAGACCTGCAATCTTGGTCTATCAGGATGATGCTCTAACCAACTGTGCTGGTTGGCCAGGGCTTCTATGTTAGCATATTTTTAAAATTTTTAAGTATATATTTTATTGATTATGCTATTACAGTTGTCCCATTTATTCCCCTCCACCCTGTACAGCGTCACCCTCCTCCCTGGTTCATGTCCATGGGTTGTATATATAAGTTCTTTGGCTTCTCCTTTTCTATCCTAATCTTAACCTCCCCCTGCCTATTTTGTACCTACTTTTTGTTGCTTATTCCCTGTACCATTTCTCCCATTCTTCCTCCTCCCCGCTGATCTCCATTTCTGTGATTCTCTTCCTGTTCTAGTTGTTTTTTTAATTTTTGTTTTTCAAGGTTCAGTTGTTGATATTTTTGAGTTTGCTGTCATTTTACTGTCCTAATTTTTGATCTTCTTTTTCTTAGATAAGACCCTTTAACAGTTCATATAATAAGGGCTTGGTGATGATGAACTCTTTTAACTTGACCTTATATGGGAAGCACTTTATTTGCCCTTCCATTCTAAATGACAGCTTTGGTGGATAGAGACATCTTGGATGTAGGTCCTTGCCTTTCCTGACTTTGAATACTTCTTGCCAGCCCCTTCTTGCCTGTAAGGTTTCTTATGAGAAATCAGCTGA